CTGCCATTGATCAATGATAATCAGTCGGTACCTCATGTTGTTGACTGGCGGCAGTAAAAAACCAATAATCACAACAAGCAATTGAAATGTCTGAGTTCGCAGAATATGGAAAACCTACAGTAAATTGAATAAAGTATCCTAATTGGTCGAGATCTGATCGTTATTTTAGATGTTCGCTAAAGAATAGTGGACTGGTTAACTGGTTACCAAGGTGATCACCTCCCTGATGTGAACAACTCTTTCATGGATAACTATTACATGATGATTGTAGCTTTGGAAGGAGGAACAACAATACATAGAGTCTTTTCCCGGCCCAGGGAGACTGAATTCTTTCTCATGTAAATCAGATTAGATCAGATTCAATTGTTTTTGCCTCATGTCATGGCTGCCATGACGTGATGGTGCAAAGCCTCTATATCTATGTTTAATATTCGACTGTGACTGAGATGCATTGTTCKTAAATGTGTCTGTTTTCCAGTGTCTTCGTAAAAAGATACTGTGGAATATTTCATGGAAAATAATACACGTTTTCCTTTTGACCTGAAAACGTTCTCCAGTAGAAGTATGGCAGATCTCGCTTGAAGGTAGGATAGAGGACAAATATAATWAGCCGAACTCGAACTTGGTCCAGGAAGCCCCATGAACGAACGAATAAGACAGACGGCATGAAACCCTTTTTTATACTTTTGTTTTCCTTCCTCTCAGTTTTCTACGCTCACTCTTGACTTTTCTCGATTCTCCAAGGCTTGTAAGTTCATTTTCTATAGCCTGCCTCATATCGATCTCATCAGGGATGTGAACATATCGTATTTTTTCTCCTAAAACAAACATCTTGGGAAAAAACTCTGCTTGATCCGATTTGTTTTTAAAGAATTTGGCGTCYGAGAGCGTAACGTTCATAAACCCATCAACATGGCTAACTGTTCCTTCAACGTAGTCTTCGTTTCGTAGCTCTATCGTTGTTTTGTGTCCTTGTAAAGCTGATAAAAGACAAACTAAACTTCGTTCTTTGATTGCTCTTTCTCTACCGGCCGCCATCTTGATTTGTTTGGTAAATTACACAGGAAGCCCAATATTTTGGGACCGAAACATTTGTCATAAAAATCCTTTCAAGCTTCCTAACATCTTTAATTTTTCCTTYACGAGTAAAGGATTTTATGTGCTTACAAAAAAATCACACAAATCGAATTTTAAGTCAAACTGCAAGAGCTAAACCCTTACTGTTTACATAGTCACAAAACTAGTCATGGGCTTCCTTTGTTAATGAAAAAAYATTTTATGGGGGGATGGGTCAGGATGTTGAATTTTTGAAAACAAATTTCTCCCCCAGTATTTATGTTAAAAAATTTAATTCCACAATATCTTCAAATTGAAAGACTTCAAATTTTAATCTTGACTTGATTTTCGCTATAAAAATTATATACGCGAAAAATTATGGGTTACAGAACATGATTAATAATTTTTCTTACCCTACCCCAGAGAGTCTTTTTTTGTTAATAGCGGGAATTTCAATATGGCGGACGAGTTGGATGAGTTGAAGTCTAGTGTTTCTTGTAAACTGTAATAGCTAAAGAGTAATGGCCTGAAATGGAATCCCAAAAGGTAACAGAACACCTAGATTTGTTTTTTAATATGCAATTTAACGTTTTGTCGTGATTCTTGTTGTATTTTATGATTTTCTAATATAAACTTTGAAGGAAATATAAGCGTGTTTTGATCTTGTTCTCAAAGCTAAAGCAGTAGSCTTATGGTAGTAATGGTGTTTTTGCCTCGTTAGGGAAATAAAAGAAACATTCCTTCAGATGACTTGTTGAAGAAATCTTGCTTCTTGTACAATCAGGGGAAATTTAGAGAATGTTTACAGACTTTGAGAAAAGG